GTCTCAATGGACTCCAATTTATACAGCTCAAGAAGAGGAGTGGTTAAGGACTGAACCTGGAAAGTATTTGGAGAACAAATGGTATCAGTTAGAAGATGGAAGAATAGTTATTCCAGCATCACTAGCGGTAGAAATTGTCCAAAACTATCATAACGGGACACATTCTGGGAGAGACAGTACAGAAGAATCTCTCAGAAAACATTTCTACATACCAAGATTGTCCAACTTGACTCAGGCCATTGTACGTAGATGTGTAACGTGTGCTAAAAATAATGCAAGACAAGGACCAGTAAAGCCACCAGGAGTCCAGTTTATGGGGGGACTTCCCATGTCCGATTTACAAATTGACTATACAGTGATGCCTAAATCGGGTGGACATCGCTACCTGCTGGTAGTGGTGTGCACCTATTCAGGCTGGGTAGAAGCATGTCCTACTCGTACAGAGAAAGCAGGAGAAGTCGTGAGATTCCTGCTACGAGAAATAATACCCCGATATGGACTACCCTGCTCTATAGGATCGGACAATGGTCCAGCTTTTGTTCATCAGTGCCTACAACAATTGACTCATATGCTTGGTATAAAGTGGAGGCTTCATACGGCATATAGACCCCAGAGTTCTGGTAAGGTAGAGAGAATGAATAGAACTATTAAGAATCAGTTGGCTAAAATGTGTCAGGAAACCCAACTTAAGTGGAACGTTCTCTTGCCCATAGCTCTATTGCGAATCCGTAGTACACCTACCAGAAGGATGGGCCTCTCTCCTTTTGAAATCATGTACGGGCGACCACCTCCCGTGCTTGGTAACTTAAGGGGGGATTTGAGTCAGTTGGGAGAAGGAATTACCCGGCAGCAGGTTGTAGAGTTGGGTAAGACTATGGAGGAGGTACAGAAATGGGTACAAGATAGATTACCTGTGAATATTTATCCCCAATTCATAGTTACCACCCAGGCGACCAAGTGTGGATTAAAGAGTGGAATAATGTGCCGTTAGGGCCCAAGTGGAGAGGTCCTTATGTTGTTCTTCTGTCTACCCCTACAGCGATAAAAGTAGCCGAAGTGGCTCCGTGGATACATCACTCCAGGGTTAAACCAGCAGCAGCCGATTCCTGGCAAGTTACAGCAAATCCAGAGAATCCCTGCAAGATCCGGTTAAAACGCACGACTCAGTCGGAGTGACGAGGAACCTTGTAGATTACAAATTTTATTGTTTCAGAGACTTGGTAAGTGAGTGAGAAGGCCATAATAAAGCCTGTCCACTCACCAACGAGTGTATAAGTCAGGGAAAGTCTTGAGGGGACCCCTGTGAAGACGAGCAGAACTCCATTCCCTGCAGCCCTTACATCCTGGAAGCTGAGGTGCCTTCGCACGGACGAAGACTGAGGATGACGACGAAAGATGTATTTTTAATAATGTTTATTTATGTGTATTTTTATATTCAGGAAGGTAGAGGTACCAACACTCCTAGCTGTGAGGTATGCATTAAGACTACAAGAACAGGTAACCATATATCCCAGACCCTAATTTGGCATTCGCAATATGAGTGTAAAGGAGATGTATCAAGATGTAGATACTTAAATATAGAATATAGTGTGTGTCATTTAGGAGTAGGAGAACCTAAGTGCTTCAGTCCTGAGTATCAACCCCGTACAATTTGGTTGACTCTCAGAAATGGAGATCCTCAGGGGACCCTAATTAATAAGACGGTATTAGAATCCGTATATTCTTCAGGTGCTCTGCTATTTGATGCGTGTAAAGCAATATCAAGTGGTAGAAAGCCGTGGAATGTATGTGGGGATCTTAGATGGGAGAGGACGTATGGGTCTAACGATAAATATATTTGTCCCAGTAGTAAAAATAAATATGTAAGTCCAAGATGCCCAAATAGAGATTATAACTTCTGCCCATATTGGTCTTGTGTGGGGTGGGCGACTTGGGGACAGACAGCAGACAAGGACATGATTGTGACTAAGTTGCCTACTAATCCATATTGTAAGTCTATGGAATGCAATCCAATCCATATACTTATAAATAACCCTGACAAGTTCTTAGATAAATATGGTAATTTATTTGGGTTTCAAATATATGGGACGGGTTTAGACCCTGGGACAATATTGTTTATAGGGATAGAGACTGATACGGTAACCTCCCAAACTCATCAAGTATACCATTCCTTTTATGAAGAGATGAGCATAGATAATAAGATCCCCATAATGCTAAAAACTTGTTCATTGATTTAGCCGAGAGTATTGCCGGTAGTCTTAATGTTACCAACTGCTATGTGTGTGGAGGTACTAACATGGGAGACCAATGGCCTTGGGAAGCAAAGGAGGTAATGTCCGGTTCTGAGGCAGTTGACCAATTAATATCTACACAAGCCGACTATCATATGAGTGTTAGAGGTAAATCTGAGTGGAGATTGAAGACCTCCATCATAGGTTATGTTTGCATAGCGAGGAAAGGAATGATGTATAATACTTCTGTAGGAGAATTAACTTGTCTAGGGCAAAAAGCTTATGATGATGATACAAAGAATACAACTTGGTGGTCGGCTTCAAATGTCTCAGAACCATCTAACCCGTTTGCAAGATATGCCAATTTAAAGGGCGTATGGTTTGATCTATCCATCACATCTAACTGGAGAGCCCCAGCGAATTTGTACTGGATCTGTGGTAAGAAGGCCTATTCGGAGTTACCACAGGACTGGGAAGGGGCATGTGTGTTGGGTATGTTGAAACCATCCTTCTTCTTGTTGCCTATTGAAACAGGTGAGACTTTAGGTGTTAAAGTGTATGATGTGAATCATAGGAAGAAAAGGGGACCCATAGAGATAGGTGCCTGGGAAGATAATGAATGGCCTCCCCAGCGTATTATAGATTATTATGGGCCAGCCACGTGGGCAGAGGATGGTACCTTTGGTTATAGAACCCCTATTTATATGCTCAACCGCATTATAAGGTTACAGGCGGTGGTTGAGATCATTACTAACGAGACATCACAAGCGCTCAATCTTCTAGCGAAGCATAATACCAGGATGAGGACAGCAGTTTACCAAAATAGATTAGCCTTGGATTATCTTTTGGCAGTAGAGGGAGGTGTATGTGGGAAGTTTAACCTGAGCAATTGCTGTCTTCAAATAGATGACGAAGGGCAAGCAATAGCTGAGCTTACTAGCCATATGGTTAAACTAGCGCATGTGCCTACTCAGGTATGGAAAGGGTACAATCCAAGTAGTTGGTTTGGTAGCTGGTATGAGTGGTTTGGAGGGCTTAAGGCAGTGGTAGGTGGAGTCCTACTGATTTTAATGTTGTGTCTACTCCTGCCGTGTCTTATACCCTTAGTAGTTAGGTCTGTGCAAAGCCTGATAGAAAATATAGCAGAGAGGAAGGCTGCTGCACAGATAATGGCAATTTATAAATATAAGGCTCTAGATCAGGGAGAACCAATGCAGGAAGACGAGTGTTGAAGATTCACATCATAGGATAAGTCTGGTCTGGTTCAAAGGTAACTTGTGGTGTATGCAAACCAAGGTTAAGTGATGCCTCAAGTAATTGTAAAATATCAAGAGGCATCAAAGGGGGGAATGTGGTGGAATCTCGGTAAAAATAAATTTAGTAGGCCGAGATTACCACGTGGCATGTGTACGTGCATATGCTGACGTATCGATCAGTTGGTTGCACGAGGCAAGATACGATCAGTAGTGTACGGAGCATGTGCAAGAATACAGGATGTAGTATTCCCCTCCTCCATTGTGCTGGACAAGCCATGCGGTCAAGCAGGAAGTTAATTCTTATTTGTAATGATTGGTCAAGAGAATGTGCGGGTGGAGCTTAATATGGGAGGAGTTATGTGCCTATATAGGGAGCCTGCACTATTGTTCAGGGCTCAGAACTTGCTGTATTTTTGGTGACATTAGTCCCTCTGAGTCCCGATCGGTGATCCAATAAAGAATCTCTTCCTTCCTGAAGAAACCTGTGTCCATCCCTCTGTGCTTTGCTTCCGTCAGTTTCTCCGGTATCACCGGCACTGATCCTGGGCAGGTGCACCAGTCTACTGGTGACCCACAGGAGGGGAGTGCACTGATTGCACTGCACTCTCCTCCTGTCCAGCCCCATCTTTACCGCAGTGCAAGTGCCCTCTGCCCCTAATTTACAGTGGTTCACACTCACAACAAGCAGTGCCTGGAGCCGTGAAGGAGCGGGTATGGCAAAGAGCTACTGATTAGCATAACATCAATATCCGTTATAAAACCAGGAAAAGGTGGGCATGGATGGTGAACTGATTTGGTGGTGCAATGGGCCACTTGACTGGTTTTGCCCCCCAGGCCTAAGGCTGCCAGCCCTCCCCTGACTACTCATTTATTTTTTTACCTCTCAGGGACATTCACCACTCATGACCTGTAACACACCTTCCTATTCTCCTTTCATAGTTTGGCTATGTTCTATGCTGTCTAAGATAGGGTCATAACAATTCCTAACAAAACCAAAGCCTTGTTCAGGCATAGGCAACCTTTGGCACTCCAGATGTTTTGATCTACACCTCCCACGAAGCTTTGTCAGCATTATGGGTGTAATAGCATTATGGTGGATGTAGTCCACAACATCTAGAGTGCCGAAGGTTGCCTATCTCTGGCCTAGTTTATAGATCGGGGTGGCAGGAAGGGTTACTCAAACCAAATGAATACTTATATGGTTTCAGTAATTCTTTAATGTGCTAGCTATTTGCTGGCTATTTTAATGGGGCAAATAAAATATGATTTGGCTTTTAAATCAAACTTGCAAGTAAAAGAGTTAAATGTGGATTTAATTATGTCTACTCTCTACAAAACAATTTTCTATCAGACCTAAAAATTAACATAGGACAAATGCTGGCTCAGTTGGCAGATACTGCTTATTGCTAATGTAATTAATTTTTTTTTTTAGTGCCAATCATCTAAACCACTTTGTTTTATTTTAAAAAAAAAAAAGTACTTTTTTTTTTTAAATTATAGTTCATTTAGACTTTTAACAGGTTAGAGAGGACATATAAAATAAAACAGATTTACCTGTGTTACATTCAAATTTTTTTTCACAATCAGCCTGCTCGATGTTGCAAATCTTTGATGGTATGCATTCACGAGATTCGACCAATTGCCCTGGACATATTTGGCCACCAAACTGAGCGGGACGCTCTAGCAAACGAGTACGGAACTTAGAATAAAGAATTTAATTTGTTTTCAAAAGCAATAAACAAATACTAGTTGAATTAAAATGAACAACACAAAGGGAAAATGTCACTTCTTCAATAATTACACCATTAAATGAAACATTGATAACAGACTTGCAAACTGTGGAAAAATTTGTTTTGGCCGAATCACTCCAGCTGTAAATAATGTAATTTTTAGGAGTCAGATGATTTTCGGTCATAAGGGGGTTAGGCTTAACTGAATTACATAAAAAAAGATTCGGGAAAACAAATCAGACTGTTCAAAATAGTGTGAAAATGGGCTATTGTACTGCAAAATATATAGACAATATAAATATTATATATATATATTTTACATAAAATGTTTATATTTTGCCATACATGTTTGAATTACATTGAGAAAAGGTAACTAATAGAAGGAAAAACAAATAAAAAAAAAATCTATATTTATTAAATATATAATATATATTTATATACAAAAAAGATCTATAAATCCTATAGGATTAGCGGTGGGTAGGTTTTGGCTAATATGTGCAACAGCGCAGGTTTTTTTTTTCCTAGTAGCTGTTTATCTGTGTTTATCACTGTTTACCAATAGTTTTGCTAATCCTTGAGTTTTGCTACATTTGGGACCAGATGATTTATAGATCTAGCCTATGTCTTTATAGTGTAGAAATTATTCCTTTTCGGACTCTACCATTGATGGATTGTACATTAGGGAGTTCCACTTAGTAGACATTATAGGCTTTATAGATATCTTTCTTATGTGGTACATATGCCATATAGGAGTAATTAACCTCTGGTATTGCCCCTCTATTTGGTTTTCCCACTCTAGCCCTTCGAGCTTTATTTTTTACTCTTTATGGGGTTACGTGTGTGTTTTTTTTATTTATTATTTTTTGTTTATGTTTATGATGATTAATAAATGTATGTTTTTTATTAGTAACAGTCCACTCTGATATATCCTACCTGTGTATCCTGGACATTTTGTCCTAGGATCTTCCTTTTTCTTTGCAAGTGTATATTTAGGGTTACCCCCTTCTTTGGATATTTTCAGGACACACTTTACAGTCTCTGTTTAAGGGCTATTTCTGCTTTTTTCTCTATTCTATAACTTTATACTTTTATATTGGGCATGGCGTCTTCGTGTTTCATTATGATGCCTAAATGCTGACAGCCAAATGCAATGAATGGATATTTTCCATATTTGAAGGAAGACTCCAAGCACATTAACCACTACAGCCTCTTCTTGCCACGCAGCCTTTTACACGTTTAATGACCACCCTTTCTGGTTGCATACACTCTGATGCTGTTAGTGTTATCTTCCGTGGGGTGGCAGTGAGTGCTTTTAAGGCTTTTTCTTTCTTCAATCCCTTATTAGCTGGGTAGCATTGATTATCAATTTAAAGTTTGTATCTCCTGATGTGACATATTAAACTAACCACCAGGTTGCAAAATATAGTCAGGGCAGTCTAGGTCTGCAATAATGACAATCTGTGCAGAAAAAACATCTTTGGATTCCAAGCAAAGAACTAAATTCCATATTTTAAGACATTTCATATTACTTAAGGCAATAAATACGATAACGCTACACACATTTTTAAGAACATGTTTTTATGTTTTTAAATAATTCTTCATATACCTGCTTTTTTAGACATGGATCACAGTCAGACCATGAGCTGAAGTCTCCAATTCTGCAGTTGATTGGACATGGCTGTTCATTACACGATCGACTCTCATGTTTTGTGCATAGTTGATCACAATTATTTTTCCAGTAGTAATCGCTGTATGTTATTTGTCTTTAATACATAAATAAATGATATGCACTCATGTTACTTATTTAATAAATTATGATTCAAGATCAAATGATGCACTACAAATACATTAATACAGAATACAGTAGAATCAAAAGTAATGTATAGTGGAGGTTTAATAGTAGACAAATCTCAATATATGAAGAATTAAATCACATTTCAGAGCTTTACACACGTTTAGCATGCATAGAAAGATCACGGTACATCTGTCCAATTTTGTATTGACTCTGTATCTAAAATCAAGTCACAGTAAAGATCAAGATCACACTTACCGGGCTCTACTCTGAGTTCCATGTTCACATGTTTTTGAACAGCTTGACCAAGAAGACCATGGATAATGTTCACAAAAACATGAGGATGCTATGCCAAGCACGCAACTTATTAAGATACATCTCAAAGGATCAATGTAAGCCATGGAAACTGATATCTAAGAGCAACAAGAGATGAACAGTTTTAAACAACATATTATGTGCTACAATACAACGTTCACCGACAGGTTAGCAATTTATATCAACTTCATATTTCTGCTACTCTTTTTTCCTTCATTCTATTCAAGACATTTCCCTGGTTTATTTGTAGGGTTCCTATATTTTTAAGATGTATATTCAATAGTTTATGTCTGTGATGCCTAGGGGAATAATTAGGTTCAGCAAATGTCTCTTTGGGCTATGATACTGGAACCCAGCTAAAATACATAGTGCTATAATACAGTGTGATGCAGTACGCTACAATAGTGTAATACAGAGTAATACAGTATGTTATAATACAGTGAGATACAGAGTGATACAGAATCATATCATACAGTGTGATACAGAGTGATACAGAATGATATCATACAGTGTGATATAGAGTGATACAGAATAATATCATACAGTGTGATATAGAGTAATACAGAATAATATCATACAGTGTGATATAGAGTGATAGTGAATGCTATAATATAGTACAGTGTGATACTATATAATGCAGAGCATACTGTGATATGGAATGCCATCATACAATGTAATTCTGGAAGGCTAGTGATCATTAACATGTCAAATGACTTCCTATCTAGGAGGCAATTAGGACATGTGACAAATAAGAGAGTTGATTTGTGCTGCAGCCAAGGGCGTAGGAACCCAAAAAAATCTTGGGGGGGGGGATAGCATTTTTACTCGCCGGATATATTCATATTACGTAAACTAGGAGTTGTTTATCCCATTGTACAGCGCTACGGAATTTGCAGTCGCTATATAAATGATTAAATAATAACATTAAAGGGTCACTACAGGGAAAGGGTTTTACTTACCTGGATACAGCGCCGGGATCCTCCTGATGCCGCGTCCTGTATTTCGTCAAAATGACGAAATAGGAAGGTGCGAGCAGGGAGCAATAAAACGCTTCTATTCAGAAGCGTCATTGCTCTCTGGCGCGCATGCGCAGCTTTGCCTCACATGCGCAGATACTTCATAGGGCGCCATTCATGTCTCGACTAGGAAGCACCTCTATTGGCCATCTGAGTGTCCACTAGAGGTATTCCTCATCAGTAATCTAAATACTGCCTTTTTACGAAATGGCAGTGCTTACATTAAAAAGCCTGCATGCTATAGACACCAGAACTACTACGTTTAGCTGTTGTGGTTCTGGTGACTATAGTGTCCCTTGAATATAGAGAGGAAAAAAGAATCATCACAAATGTAAGAAATAAAATGTCTATATCATTATTCTAAAAATTATTAAAAAAAAAAAAAAATGCACATTCCTAGCTTAATTTTTTGCACGACATATGACACAAACATTTTGTACTTTGCAGATTACTTTTTATATTTTTTTTATACATATACAGATTGTGTAATACTGCCCCTGACTTAGGGTGACCACATTTCCTAACTGCCATTCAGTGACACTGTCAGAAATGCATTCCATACATGTTACTACCCGTCTCTACCCCTTCCATTTATATTAGAACCCCATCTACCCCTTCCATGAATATTAGAACCACCCCTACCCCTCCCATGAATATTAGAACCACACCTACCCCTTCCATGCACAAAAGAACCCCACCTACACTTCCACGCATATTAACCCCCCTACCCCTTCCATGCATATTAGCACCCCCCAAACCCCTTCCATGCATATTAGTACCCCCTAAACCCTTCCATGCATATTAGAACCCACCCTACCCCTTCCATTCATATTAGTACTCCCCTAACTCTTTCCAATTATTTTTTCACCTACCCCTCCCCCCATCCATATTAGTAGCCCCCCTAAACCCTTCCAATTATTTTTCTACCTTTGCCCCCCCTTTTACCTGACATAGCAGGGGGACCTCTGGACGTCTGGCAGGCGCAGTGTCAGACTGAGCGCCGGGTAGTCACGTGACACTCGGCCAGGGCCGGTGCAAGGATTTTTGCCGACCTAGGCAAAAGTAAAGTTTGCTGCCCCCCCCTTGTGACATCACAATGTCCCACCCATATGATCTGCCATGTTAACTAACGCCAGTGCTGGAGTGCCGCCGTGTTTATATTAAAAGGCCTGCAGGGACAGGCTATAGACACCAGAACCACTACATTAACCTGCAGTGGTTCTGGGGACTATAGTGTTTCTTTAATGTGAGGTAAATTAGAGATTAGTGCCACGAATAATATGCTAGATTGACTACTTACAACCAGATGATGGGCTCTAGCTGCAGTCTGGCTCCACTGGTCTGGTGTAGAACAGGCTCTCTGGAGGCTGTTTGTAACTGTGTGTCCTCAGTTGTAGCGTCACTCTCTTTTCCCCCCTACCTCCCTCCCTTGTCACTCTCTTTTCCCCCCTCCCTCCCTCCTTTGTCACTCTCTTTCTCCCCCTGTGTGCACTTCCTTTTAGTCCGGCCAGGTTCAGGAGACAGATGCTCCCTGTACCCGCAGACCATGATACAGGGCTCGGCCACGCTACAGTGAGGGAGTGACAGGAGGGAGCGCTGAGCGCTACCCTCCTGTCAGCCCCTCTCCTCATGCTGCGCCCGGGCGGTGCGGTTCGCCCTCATGGATGCACCGCCCGGGCAAAGCTACAGTTGCCTGAGGCTCTCTGCAGAGAGCTCGGGCGGCTGCAGCATGGGGGGGCGGCGGAGCTGGGGGGGATTTCCCCATAACCTGTCCCCCCGCATGATTTGCTGGGGGGGATGCGTCCTCCCCGGTTCCTACGCCCATGGCTGCAGCCAGACTTCCAGGAGACTTGTGTGTGACTTCTCACACCTGGCTGAGTGGCTCTGTTGGGGTTCCAGCTTCAAAGGGGAACTGGGTTGTAAGCTCTGACCTTTCATGTAATCAATTAACCCCTTTTGAAATATTGAAATGTGTTTGTGGGGTGTTGGGAACTATTGTAGATTTTTCTGTACCTGATGGATAATTAAATTAATGTGGCAATTAGCCCTCAGGCACTGACGGTCTTGGAAGAAAAGACCCCGTATGGGACCTTTCCATAAGAAGGCTGTGTGGCCTCGAATAAAGATATTCCTGTTGTACCCTTCATCAAGTCTTGGCTGATATTTGGGTAACCAAGGGCTCTGATCACTGTTTCACTTGGGATTTGGGAGACTTACAATGGATGTACTCAGTCTGAGTATAGGGGATCCGTTACAATTTGCAAGGTCAAAAAATATTTGAGCCGAATAGCCGTACAGATATATCTCAGACTTCCTGAACAATTTCTTTTGAATTGGTATGGTTGAATTGAATTCTTCCTCCAAGGACAAGTCTACTGTATGTGGGCATTATGCTCAAATGTTGACATTATTTTTACATTCTGTTACCATTTTGAGTATACTGCACTGCTAGTAATGCTAGTTACTTGAACATTTTTATCTAATTTTGTCACACCAACTGTATGTGAGGAATATAGCTTTTTTGCTTTTATACTTACATCTCAGACCCTGTGTGAAATATTGACAGAGGAATCTGTATACAGTCTAAAGATTTTAATTTCCCAAATATTGTTTTCTAAAGACTGAATGAATAAGTGAAAAATAAAGATTGTGCAAATTTATATGATTTGTCTGCAAAGCAACATTTGTATGCATCATCATTTATACTATAATTACTTATCTCAGCAAACTTGATCACAGACCATTAAGCTCCTCATCCTCAATCACCAGGGAATATAGCCAGAGCTGTCATCAGAAATTTTGGGGTCCCTTACACAGCTCAAGCACAGGCCCCCTGGGCCCACTCCTGAGTTCATCCATAGGGCCTGCCCCTGAATCCACCCACAGTGCCCACACCCAGATCACCCACAAGGATGCAGGGTGTTCTTAGTGAATGCAGCATGTATAGTAGATGCAGTGTGTGTATAGTGGATGATGTGTGTAGTGGCCAAGGCTCACGAGAGTTGGAGAGAGCTTCTGGAAGCTGAAGATTGCATGTGCAATGCTATACAGGCTGCCAAGGTCCTGCAAGGGCAGTGGTAAAACTAAAGTAGAGATGACCCTGATGCAAGGCTACAATACTTCTTTGGGGGGCCTTTCTAGCACAAGGGTGGCCAAAATGTAGATCTTCATCTTTTGTACAAGTCAGATGGGAATCTACAATTTGCCCATCCTTGCAGGGTTGTGTTTAGCACTTAGCAGTGTATGTGTGTTTGAGTATAAGCAGGTTTTTGTATGGAGTATGTGTGTGTGAATGTTGGTGTTTAAATGCTGGTGTGTATTTGTGTGTAGTGTATACACTGACACACACACTGATACACATGCACATACAGATACAAGGACATGAACACTGACATACATGCAAATACATACACAGATACACACACCAACACACTTATATACACAGATGCCCACACAAATAAATACAGACACAGACACTTATGTACACATTGAAACAAAGATACAAACAGACACGCACATGTTAGTAATTTTTTAGCCACCCTCCTTTTTCTTACCTTTTGGGTGCAGAAGTAAGCAGGAGGTTACACAACACACGTATTATATGTAGCTATCACACCTATCACACACAAACATCACACATAGCCAACACACATTACATCATATCCCATTATTGTGAAAACTATTAAAGTGTATACACTCATACAGACAGTACATTACTGTGAGTTTTAATGCCATGAGTAAAAGGTAAATAGGGAAACCCTGGAGCTTCAAAACACTCCAAATCATAGTATCATGTTTCATTGAGAAGTATCACAAAGCTCGAAAATAAATTATCATTTTGTTTGTGGCACCTCAGTCTAAATGTAGGGAACAGGAAGATGTGTCTTATCCTGGGTAGCCATAAATCCTTGCACTGGCCCTGAATGGGTTTATACAAATTGTGAGTCCTCACCTTTATATCTTCTATTTTAGCCCCAGCTCACATTGAAAGACAAGTAAGATTTTAGAAAGTTAACTTGTTTAATAACTCGCTATACAGTGCATTTTTCTTTACACACAGTACTTGTTAACAACAAGCTTAGCAGAGCGTAAATCTACTCGTAGTACATGCAGAATTAAATGTAATTTTACATTTATTTAGACCCCAAATGCTTGATCGTTAGGGATTATCACATACACATATTCATAAATACTACATTTTCTCTTTTTCTGTATTTCACTAACACTCTCTGTCTCACAATTTCACTATTAATTCTCACTTTTCACACAGTTACCACAAATATATGTGTATATATAGATATACAATTTAAAATACAGTGGAAATGGAATGGCTTACATACCTTATTCTCAGACCCCCGTCCTTAAAGTGACATTCTGAGTAACTGACTCTGTTTTAACTTTTGTTAATAGAAGTCCAGGGTTTCTGTTTGTCCAGGTTAATCTTACACTAATCCCCCACTCTATCTCTCTATATCCAGTTTGCCAGGAACAAACCCTTGCATTGTTTAGAAACAATTGGATTTATTCACTAAACCAGGAACTGATTTAAATACACTAGATAACTGAACATTTTAAAACCACAACCCGAACTATACAAATCACTAACATTTAACAATTCTATTGGTTTCTCCACATTTTTCAGAAATCCTGTTCAATGACTGAACAAGAATAATTTTAAATGTTTTAAGTTAAATTTCATATCTATGAATCGAACCATGATTATGCATTCAAATTTCTCACATTAAAATGTTGAGCTAAACCAGAAAACCAGAATTCAGTAAATAGATAGTTAAAAAATTAGTTTTGAAAAAATGTTAAATTAGCTGTGTCAAACCCCCAAATGTTTTGGACTGCAACTCCCATAATGCTCAGAAAACACATGTATTTCAGAGAAACATGACCATTATTGTTCAGCAACATCTGGAGCTGCAGTTCAGTGCCACATGTGCCAAATAGTGTGGCTGGGCAACATTCTAAAGAATGACAGAGCATCATGGTAAATGGAGTTCTGCAACATCTGGGGATCTACCTTTAGCTAGCCCTCATATAAAGTATTAGAAAACAGCAGCTGTAAGGTTCATTCACTAAACAATGAGTTGAAGCTTCACAAAATATAGGCCAGACTAGATCATTTGATTAAAAAAAAATATCTTTCTGAGCTAATTTAGGATTGTTTTCCAATTCAGCTGATTTTACTAAAAACAAAACAATATCCACGTTGTCAAACACCAACTCACTGTTTAATGAATAAACCTCAAATATTTTTTTTCGCAAATTAGAACCAGTTGCATTAACTAGTATTTATACATACGCATTAGGAGAAATGATCATAGAATCATAGAATTGTCCTAATGTTAACATTCTATTTCCTATTGACTCTTACAGTCTCTGAAACAGAATATGGTTAATTTGTAAGCTATGTCCTTCTTGGGATAAATATGTCCCCAACCCCTGGTTTCTTGAACTGTTTGTTGTCTTACCCATTTTTGCTGAGAGAATTTCCCAGCATTTGATTATCATTGTCAACACAACATTTCTCAACCACTAGCTCCACAGCATGACCTCTTTTGTGGATATGCCAAATCAGATTGCTGACTAGTTTACTCTAGCTTGGCTCACTGTTTAAGTCAATAAATAAGACTTATCTCTTACAAAGTCCCAATAACTATGTCAAATATCCAAATATTTCCCAAGAACATCTAAAAAGGACTCAATACCAGCACCAGAATTGTGATTGCATGCTTTAATGTATGTAAATCCAGTGGATTAAAACACACCAGATGCATATGGCAATTTAAGAGACATCTAAATTTGCCATAACTATTCTTATTTTATTTAAGATATATCAAAGTTTCTTTTTTAATTTCCAATTTATGTGTATATCAACGTCAGAATCAACTCATGCTTAGCCAGAACACAAGATAAAACCTCTTCATGTAACATGCAGTCACACAGCTGATATCTCTTTAATGCCACTGGCAGAGCTATTCAATAATGTGAATTAAAAATTAATTGGAAATTTAAGGTAAAACATTAGAAAAATTCTCTAAAAGCTATGATTCTTGTTCGACTGATTTGGCCTAAAATTTGAAATTTGAAATTTACTTTGAATTCTCAGTTTAGTGAGTCATTTGAATGTTACTTATAGGGACACTCCAAATACCAATACCATTTTAATACATTTGATAGATTTTGGTCTTATAAGTTGGCAGTAGTTTTACCTATGCTAAAATATTGATAGTTTTTTGCACAAAATAAATAAATGTTTTACAGTTTGCTGCACTCATAAGCCTGCCTTCTTAGCCCCACCATTCATTTCAGAAAGACTTCTTTTATCAAAAGTTTGCACACAGCTCAGCCTCAACAGCACTGAGTGAGCGGCTTTTAAAGTGGCACGGTCACCGTCTGGTGGCACCTACAGGTGAGATTTCTGACCTGAACCCAACCCTTGTGTGCGCCGTCTTCTTTCTTGTGCTGCTTCTCTTCAACTACTGACCCAATGAGCACATGCTCAAGAGTACAGCATTGAAGTCTGGGGGATCCTACGAGATCGCAGGATCCTTCATAGACACAGCCAATTACCTGCAACTATCAATGGTGACAGCTGTAGGGATTGACACTGATACTCCACCCTGAGTCAGGCAGAGTAGAAATACAGAGACAAAGTAGTCCATGTGAAATTCCGACACAGTCAACATGAGTATTTCATAAAGATTTTATCTCGTTTTTAGGGGTTGGGCGAGTGACAGTGCCACTTTCATTTACATCTTGGCTGCAGTCAGAGATACTACAAACAGGTAGTGATATCTTCACTATATAGCTACATGGGTGTCCTCTTCTTCTAATGCAAGTTCGGTTGTAGTTCAGATTATTCAGTAATGCCAGAGGCTGTGGCAAAAAAAGAGACTTATGGTGCATCATTCTGCAAAACATTTATTTATTTTATTCAAACACTATAAAAATTTGAGCATGTAAAAAACAAAACAAAATAGAAGCCATGCAATGCATCAAAGTAGCATTGGTGCCTGGAGTGTCCCTTTAAGAATAAATAAATGGCATCACAGCTCCAAAACTGGATGTAGTTTATTTATTCTGCAACAGTCTAGGTTTCACCTGTTTAACCCCTTCAGGACCAGTGGCGGATCCAGGGGGGGGGGCAATTGCAACAGTCTCCCTCTCCCCTGCCAGCACATGCAGGCGCCAGCCCAGCAATGTGCTTGCAGACCGGAGGGGAGATCAGAGATCTCCCTCCCTGGTCCACAGGCACCGTGCTGGCAGCCAGCAGGGGGGAGGGAGTGAGAGAGGACCCGGGAGCTCAACCTGAAGCTCCTCTGGGTCCTCCTCTAGCGAGATTTGGAGCGTTGCCACGGTTACCACGACAATGCTCCAAATCTCGCGAGAGTGAACTCTAGCCCGGGAGCACGGGCTAGACTTCACTCTCCACACTGGACCACCAGGGATTCCCACTGGGACCACCAGGGATCGAAATATGTCCCCCCTCCTCCTCAGTAAAGGTAAGAAGGGAGGGGGGGACATAGAATATTTATTTTAATTAAATAAAAAATAAATAGATATATTATAAAAAAAACAAAAAACCCTACCCTTATCACACACTCTATACACATACACCCCCATACACACACATTGCCCCCATACACACATACTGCCCCCCATACACACATACTGCCCCCCCATACACACATACTGCGCCCCATGCACACACTGCCCCCATACACACACTGCCCCCCCATACACACACACTGCCCCTCATTAACACATACTGCCCCCATACACACATACTACCCCTCTACACACACACTGCCCACATTCACAAATACACTGCAATACTCACACACACACACTGCAACTGTTACACACACATACTGTCCCACACATACACTGCATCCCTGACATACACTGCCGCCCTCACTCACATACTACAACCTTCACACACACACACTGCTCACACACTGTCCCCCCCCCACACACACATACTGCACCCCTTACACATTGCACCACTCACACACACCACTGCTCCTATGCCCTACTACAGCCCCATTTCCCAGCAGACCAGGTAAGTTGTCAAACTGTTCTTAAATGGTTTGACTACTTACTCTGGGAGGGGGTCCCGGCACTATTGACACCATAACCACTACACTGAGCTGTAGTGGTTATTGTGTCTGGATTATTTCTTTAAATAATCTACAAGTGCCCCTCCCGAGATCAGGCTCTGGATCCGCCACTGTTCAGGATGGGTGACGGACGAGGTCCGTAATCCTGGGGATACCCTTAATGACAGGTGACGGACCTTCTCCGTCACGCGGTAAAGTTAACCACGCGATCACCACAGTGCCAGCAATCGCGGGGTTAACGCTGTTGCTGGGTGCCTCCGAGTCAGGGGCAGACCAGCAACAGCAAATTGCGATGTCCCAGCACATGTGATCGCTGTGACAGCCAGTCACAGCGGTCACAATACTGCTGGGATATCTGAACCGCCTCCCTCCACCTCTTGTGGGTTTGTGAAGTGGAGAAAGACAGATCATTGCAACATTGTGTCCCAGAAGAATAGTGAATATCTATTAAAGGTTCCTAATCCCTTTCCCCTTTATTTTTTAAAAAATTAACCCTTTCTCTGCTGCTTGATCACTGCTAACAGTGATCAATATACAGGTCACAGTACTTTACTGTGATCTATTTTTTTTTTAAGGGTTAAATTGTATTTTTTTTGTAACTCTAAGGGGTTCAATTTTATTATTTTATTTTATTAATTTGTGATTTAGTTAGTTGGGTGGGTGGAATTTAGTCGTAATTGGGGAATTTAGTTAGGGGTTAAAAAAAAAAAAGTTTAGTTATTTAGTTAAAGTTTTCTTAGCTGTGTTAACTGTATAACAATGTTTAGAAAGTATAGCGCAGAGGAGGCTTATGCCCTGTTAGCAGCCGACTCAGAGGCGACCGACACTCCCTCAGAGAGTGACGCAGGGAGTGACGCAGGGGACAGGGACTATGTGCCAGATACTGCAGGAACATCAGGGGAAATCACTGATTCCCCTAATGTTCAACATGGCGCAGATGACTGGGTACCCCCTAATCATTTTTCGCCAGACATTCCAGAGTTCACTGCCAATCCTGGCATACTGGCTGACCTGTGTGGCTATAATGCGCTGGATTGTATGGAGCTGTTTTTGGGGGATGATTTTTTTGGGGAGGTAGTTACCCAGATGAATCTGTATGCGGAGCAATATCTTGCACGCAACCAAGACTCCCGAATCACCAGGACAGAGAGATGGTACCCAACCAGTGTGCCAGAAATTAAACAATTCTGTGCACTGACAATGTTAATGGGGATAGTTAAAAAGCCCACAATTAGGATGTATTGGACTAAAAATCCTATTTTAAAAACCCCCATTTTTTCCCAATGCATAGGGAGAGATATGAGGACATACTGCGTTTTATGCACTTTAATGACAATATGAAGTGCCCCCCAAAATATGCCCTCTAATTTCCCACTTTAATGAAAAAATTGCAACTATTTACACCCCCAAAAAACACATTTTAATTGATGAGTCCCTCATATAAGGGAATACTGGGATTTAGACAGTACATCCCATCCAAAAGATCCCGATATGGGATTAAATTTTATAAATTATGTGAAAGTGGCAGTGGCTATGTATACACCTTCCATGTATACGAAGGAAGGGGTAGCCACCTTGATCCCCCAGGTTGCCCAAATATAATAGGGACAAGTGGGAAAATTGTCTGGGACTTAATAATGCCCTAAACTTAAGTACGGTTATCACTTATACATCGATAACTTTTATAACAGCATCCCACTCTTACAAATGCTGTACTGTTTTGAGACCGTGGCCTGTGTCGCACAGGTTTCCCAAAGGCTCTAGCGGGGAAATTTTTTTAAAAAGGGGGAATAAGCAGACTAGTTTTGGGGTGTGATTTTAGTCAACTGTCTGGTTACCAAATCTTGGCTTTGTCTCCCGTTTATCCTGTCTTCTCTGATCCTTGACCTCGGCTTGTCGTATCGTTGTTCTGTTTCTCTTTACCCCTTTGACCTTGGCTTGTACATTGACTATTCTCTGCTTGTATAGCCCGGCCATTCTAAGGACCGGTATTACAAGTGTCTCTCTCTGTGTTCTCTCTCTTTGTAGTCTGTCTGTGTTTTGGAATCCGTGACAGTGTTGCCCGTGACGCAGATTACTGGGTACTACCCCCAGATAAATTTAAGCCAACTCTTCCCCCTTTTCACAGCAAATAGTATGCACTTGTTCATAATTTGAATTGATGAGCTGCTTACACTTAAAAATATATGTAGTCTTTGAGAGGTAATTT